TGCTATTGTCCACAAGCCGATTATATATTTATTGGGTTATAGCATGCTCTTAACCTAAGTTTATGGTATACTCTATTACGGTTCTCTCACTAACTACTTGGGAGGCTGAGATGGGAAGATTGTGTGAGCCTAGGAGTTTGAGATGAGACCAGCCTGGGCCACCTAGTAAGACCCCATCTCAAAATGAATAAATAATATAAAGCCCTTACGGGGCCTGCTACACGCTCAAAGGTCCAGGCTCCCACGGGGCAGTTCAGGCCCTCTGCAATCTGGCCCTGCCCACCTCTCTGGGTCGCTCTGTTCCTGTACCTGGAAGGCAAGAGCCACAGACTTCTCCTCTCTTTCTGGGTTTGCTCTGGACACTTGGAGGCCACCTTCACCACCCTCTTTCCCTGGCTGGTTCTTGGTGGACTCAGGGTTGTCCTCAGACTTTGTTTCCTCTGGGACCTTTTCCTCGCCCCAGAAAGTGACTCGGGCTTCTTCTGCCGCTGTCATCACCCTTCTGAACTAGATTGTTATCACTTGCTTCCTTGTCTGCCTCTCCACAAGCCCACATGCTTCTTTTTTTTTTTTTTGAGTTGGAGTCTCACTCTGTCGCCCAGACTGGAGTGCAGTGGCTGCTCCCGGCCACGGCAGCCTCGACTTGCTGGGCTCCGGCGATCCTTCCGCCTCAGCCTTCCAAGTAGCCGGAATTACAGGCATGCGCTACCACGCCCAGCTGATTTTTGATTGATTGTAGAGATGAGGTCTCGCCAAGTTGCCCAGGCAGGTCTCGAACCCGCGGGCTCAGGCAATCCACTCACCTCGGCCTCCCAAAGGCGCGGGATTACAGGCTGAGCCACCAAGCCCGGCTCCACATGCTTCTTAATATTGGGGGCTACAAGGCCGGACGTGGTGACTCATGTCTGTAATCCCAGCACTTAGGGAGGGCGAGGTGGGAGGATTGCTTGAGCCCAGGAGTTTGGGAGCAACATAGTAAGACCTTGTCTCTAAAAAAAAAAAAAGACCTGGCATGATGGCATACGCCTGTAGTCCCAGCTACTTGGGAGGCTGAGGTGAAAGGATCACCTGAGTCTGGGAGTTGGAGCTTATGCAACAGAGTGAGAACTCAACTACAATTAAGGAAAAAAAAAGTTTGGAGAACGTGACTCAAGAAGGCGGGCAATCAGTGTTTGTCAATCAGTGTGTTATTTGACATCTCCCACCACAATGGGCACCCAAGGAGCCCCAGGCGGCCTCTAGTCCAGTCGCCTCCTCTGAGCTCAGATGGAAAGAGGGGACACACACTCTTGGAACCCAGCAAATGGATGCTCAGTAACACCTGAGGAGCAAACTGGAGAAGTGAAAGAACAGAGGAGCAGATTGGGGGTGGGCTGGGGAGGTTGCCCTCTTGCGACTGGCTGGAGATCCCCAGTCCTCCAGGGGAGCAGATTTTTCTTTTCTTTTCTTTTGAACTGGAGTTTTTCACTCTGTCACCCAGGCTGGAGTGCAGTGGCACGCTCATGGCCACCTCAGCCTCAACCTGCTAGGCTCAGGCGATCCTTCCGCCTTAGCCTTCCAAGTAGCTGGAACTACAGGCTCACGCCACCACGCCCAGCTAGCTTTTTGATTTATTGTAGAAATGAGGTCTCGCCAAATTGCCCGGGCTGGTCTCGAACCCCCAGGCTCAGGCAATCCTCTCACCTCGACCTCCCAAAGTGCTGGGATAACAGTCTGAGCCACCGCACCCGACCGGGAGCAGATTTTCTTCAGTTTCCTCCCTGTTCGGAGAGCTCATGATCCCATGGGCCTCTAGAGGGTTCTCAGGGGATCTTTGCCCGTGGTTACCAAGGCTGCAATGAGACAGGCGGAGTGACACGGGGTGGCCCTCTCCCGTAGCTGAAACGCAGGCGGGTGTGTGCTGAGGAACGAGCACTTTCTCACAGGCTCACCCTGATCTCCATGAGGCCCAGGCTTCCTGAGGAGAGGTCAGCCTCAGCATATCTCTGCAAGATGTATGGAAGGCAAGTCACTTCCTCTTTCCTGTCTGCTGCATGTCATCTTCTGGAAGCCCCGACCTAAGCTTCAGCCCCCACGTGGATGCCGTGACCACTCTGGGGTTTTCCCATCTGGGGCCGCCTCAGTTCTGAGGCCCCTTCAGCCTCCTCGGTGCCCTTTCACCCAGAAAAGCCCTTGTGCTTCCAAGAACCTTCTCCCCTTGTACAAAAGCCATATATGATTGTTGTAGCTGGGCACGGTGGCTCACGCCTGTCATCCCGGCACTTTGGGAGGCTGAGGCGAGAGGATTGCCTGAGCCCACGGGTTCGAGACCAGCCTGGGCAATGTGGTGAGGCTTCGTCTCTACAATAAATAAAAAAATTAAGTGGGTATGGTGGCTCATGCTTGTAGTTCCAGTTACTTGGAAGGTTAAAACGGAAAGATCACCTGAGCTCAGCAGGTCGAAGCTGCGGTGGCCATGAGCGTGTCACGGCACTCCAGCCTGGGAGACAGAGTTAGACTCTGACTCAAAACAAAAAAAAAAAAAAAAAAAGAGAATTTGAAAAATGAGTCAAAGCACAAAGAAAGAAAGCAGTTCTCCATCGCCACTGGTGACCGAAAACCCTACCTCCCGGGAACCTCCTGGGCTCCGGCGATCTTTCCGCCTCAGCCTTCCAAGTAGCCGGAACTACAGGCGCACGCTACCATGCCTGGCTAATTTTCTGATATATTGTAGAGATGAGGTCTCACCGAGTTGCCCAGGCGGGTCTTGAACCCGTGGGCTCAGGCAATCCTCTTGCCTCGGCCTCCCAAAATGCTGGAATGACAGGTTTGAGCCCCCATGACCAGCCTGAATTCTCTTTTAAACCTATACTTTGCACTTGCCATATTGTATAATTTTCCTAGCGATGAAATTTTCTGAAAATCACACACTGCAGAGTTTACCGGTGTACAGGGGACTATACTTTGCTTGAATCTTCCTCGGTAACAGGAAAAAGGTTTTCTGTTCAAATATTCTGCTTTACAAGCCTCCATGCTGTCCCCTGACCATGTGGAAGGGGCTGACTTTCTGTTTCTCTGCCTGGAGGCTGACTCCCCCTCCCAGCCCTTCCCCCAATCCACTCTAATTCACTCATTCACACAACAAATCTGTCCTGAGCACCCGCTGTGCTGGGCCCTGGGAGCTCTGTTGTGACCAGGGTGGACCAGTTCCGCCTTGAGCTTCCTGTGTGGCTGGCCTCCAAACCTCTCACCACCGCCTTCCTTCCCTGGTGGTGAACTCCCGTCTCCTCCCCACCAACCCTCTTCCATCTTCCCATTACAACACCTGTCCCAGGTGGGGATAGGGAGGGGGCGGGGCGCATCCCTCCTGAAGCACCGGTTGCCTGTTCCTGCCTATTCCGCTAAGTCAGTTAACGACTCAGCAATGGCGTCACCATCGTGGTCTCGTGTCTCCCAGCTGTGGGCTTCTCCCTTTGACTCTGGGAACAGTGGGCTTCTCCCTTTGACTCTGGCGGACAGTGTCTCTCCCTGAGTCATCCAGGGCTGCAGGCTCTGAGGTTGCCTGGCTGTGGACCTGGGCCAAGGGCATCGGCCGTGTGTGCGGCACCTGCTGTCCACCTGGTCCTGGCTCCACGTTGAAAGGGTCGGGGTGTACAGAGGCAGGACCCCTGCAGACACGTGCTGCAAGCCAAGGCCATGTGACCCGAGCTGTGTCCCCCTGGGGGCTGATAGGCCTCCTTCCTTGTGGCTTCTGGTGGGCTGTCTGTGAAGGTGGACCCCAGGCACGGGGGTGGGACCGGAAGTCCCCCACACTTCCTGCAGTCTGACGCAACCCTAGGTCACTACATGCACAGATCCTTTTGGTGGGTGTCCTTCTTCCTGGTCTTTTTTTTTTTTTGAGTTGGAGACTCGTTCCTTCACCCAGGCTGGAGTGCGGTGGCACGCATGCTCATGGCCACCCCAGCATTGACCTTCTGGGCTCCGGCCATCCTTCTGCCTCAGCCTTCCGAGTATCCGGAACCACAGATGTGAGCTACCACGCCTGGCTATTTTTTATTTTATTGTAGAGATGAGGTCTTGTCAGGTTGCCTGGGCTGGTCTCGAACCCGTGGGCTCAGGCAATCCACTCGCCTCGGCCTCCCAAAGTGCCGGGATGACAGGTTGAGCCACCGAGCCCGGCCCCTCCTGTTCTTCTCCAACTGGGAATAGCTTTGTTTGGTCCCTTTTTCCCATACATTCACTCATCCTTTTGCTCCTTCACTGATTCCCTCACTCAACAAAGCCTTGAGTTCCTACTATGCTTGTGACCTGAAGGGATAAATCCCCAGGGCTGAGAGGTCTCTAGGGAAAGGCCTTTGTCCAGATGGTAGGAGGGCTCCCTGTTGCTTCTGGGATTCACCCTCCTTACTCTTTCATCTGCAGCTGGCGAGAGTTCAGCGCTGTCCCAGAACCCCAGGCAGGTAAGTGAAGCTGCAGCAGGAGGTGTGTCAGATGGCTGGGGGGGGGGGGCAC